TTAGACACCACCCTGGACCAATGCAGTCAGCCTCACACCAGCGGGACCTCACAAGGGACCATCACGGCAAATCTGGGGCACTGCAGTGACATGCATGCCATCCCTGAGGCAGAAATCTGGACCCCACAGTGATTCTCATGCCACCCCCACCTCCGATACAGATACCCCGCAGTGAGATGCGCGCCATCCCCGCAGTCAGCGCCAGGATCTCACAGGTGACCCTAGCCAGGGGAGCTGGGACCCTGAGGTGAGTCGCATGCCAGTGGTACCTTGTAAGTGACCCCGCAGCAGCTCAGAGACTGCGTACTGAGAAGCACACCAGAGGGCTCTGGGACTTCACAGGGCATCGCATACCAGAGGTACTGTGCATATACCCTCACTGATCCTCAGGACCTGATCCATGGGGGAAGGGAGAACAAGTAAGAACAGAGACAATCAGGGTGATAGACTTAAGGCAGACCCAGCCTCTGGACTAAGGAGTCCCTGACCATTGGACTACTATGGGATTCAACCTCTCCGACCTCAATCAGGTTATCCTGGGCCTGAAAGAGACAGTGACTCACATTAACCTGTACTAGAGCAGCTTCCAGGAGATGCAGGATAGATACACCAAGGGACCAGATACAACATCAGAGCAAAATCCAGCAATCCCCAATCTCACTGGCAGTAAGTCAGAGAGGAGATCATTCCCACAAATAGGACATCAACAATCAACTCCCAATTACAACAGGAGTGCCCAAATAATGAACACAGGGACACTCCTAGAGCATCCTGCTGAGGTGAACAGAGAGACTGCACCACTGGACGCCTCAAGACGATTTCTGCAGTAGCCAACCAACAAAGAATGGGGGGCATAACAGTTATACCTAATACATAGAAGCAAATACACAGAGACAACTAAAACGGGTAGACAAAGAGGCAATCCCCAAATGAGAGAAACAAAGGAATCTCCAGAAAAAGAACTAAATGTAGTGGAGGTAGGCAACCTGTCAGACATAGAGTTAAAGCAATGGTTATAAAGATGCTTAAGGAATTTAGCGCAAATTACAACAGCATGAAAAAGTGAAATAGAGGCCATGAACAACAACCAGACAAAAATGAAGAAGGATATAATATGACATTAAGAACACACTGTAAGGTAATAAAAGTAGACTGGATGAAGCAGAGGATGGAATCAGAGATTTGGAAGACAAGGTAGAAATACCCAATTAGAGCGACAAATGTAAAAAAGAGAGGAAGCTTAAGGGGGCTCTGAACAACATGAAACAGAACAACATCCACATTACAGGAATACCAAAATTGGGAAAGAGCAAGAAATAGAGAACCTGTTTTTAAAAAATAATGCCAGAAAATTTCCCCAACCTAGTGAAGGAAAATGTCACACAAGTTCAGGAGGCACAGAAAGTCCCAATAAAGAGGAAGGAACCCAAAGAGACCCACAGCTATACACAACATAACAAAATGGCAAATGTTAAAGACAAAGAAAGAATCTTAAAGGCAGCAACAGAGACACAGAAAATTAACTACAAAGGAGTTCCCATTAGAATGTCAACTGACTTCTCAACAGAAACACTTCAGGAAGGAATAGAGTGGCATGAAGTACTAGAAGTAATGAAAAACAAGAGTCTAAATCCAAGACTATGGTATCCACTGAGGCTATCATTTAAATTGAAGGTGAAATAAAAACCTTTCCAGTCAAGAAAAGGGAGGATAAAGGAATACATTAACACCAAATCAGCAATGCAAGAAATGTTAAAGGGATTGCTTTAAGAAGAGGAGAGAGAATCATAGGCAAAAAGAAAATTAAAATGGCAATAAATAAATACCTATCAATAATACCCTTAAATGTAAATGGATTAAATGCCCAAGTCAAAAGGCATAGGGTGACTGAATGGATAAGAAAACATGACCCATCTATATGCTGAGTAAAAGAGACCCACCTCAGAACAAAAGTGCACACAGACTGAAAGTGAAAGGATGGAAAAATATATCCCATGCAAATAGAAAAAGGAAAAAGCTGGGGTAGCCATACACACATTAGACAAAATAGACTTCAAAACAAAGACCATAATAAGAATCAAAGAAGGCCACTTCATAATAGTACAGGGAATGATTCAACAAGAAAATATAACTCTTGTAAACATATATGCACCAATATAGGAGCACCAGCATACATTAAAAAACAAACAAACAAACAAACAAACACCTCTTGATAGACTTTAAGGGAGATTAACAGCAATACAGTCATAGTAGGGGACTTTAACACCCCGCTGACATCACTGGATAGATCTTCCAGACAAAAAATTAATAAGGAAACAGTGACCTTAAATGAAATACTAGATCAGATGGATCTAACTGATATTTACAGAACATTTCACTCCAGAGCAACAGAATATACATTCTTCTCAAGCACATATGGAACATTCTCAAAGATAAAACACATGTTAGGGTCCAAGATAAGTCTATACAAATTCAAAAAGATTGATATATTACTAAGGATCTTCTCAAATCACAGTGGCATGAAATTAGAAATCAACTACAATAAAAAAAACTAAAACACTCCAATACATGGAGGCTAAATAGCATGTTATTAAAAATGAATGGGTCACCAATGACATCAGGGAACAAATTAAAAACTTCCTGGAGCCGAAACCGGTTTGGCTCAGTGGATAGAGCGTCGGCCTGCGGACTGAGGGGTCCCAGGTTCGATTCCGGTCGAGGGCATGTACCTTGGTTGCGGGCACATCCCCAGTAGGGGGTGTGCAGGAGGCAGCTGATGGATGTTTCTCTCTCATCGATGTTTCTGACTCTCTGTCTCTCTCCCTTCCTCTCTGTGAAAAATCAATAAAATATATTTAAAAAAAAAAACTTCCTGGAAACAAATGATAATGAACACACAACCACCCAAAACCTAGGAGACACAGTGAAAGCAGTCCTAGAGGGAAGTTAATAGCACTACAGGCCTACCTTAAGAAACAACAACAAAAAGTACTAATAAAATACCTAACCCTAAAACTAAATGAATTAGAAAGAGAACAGCAAGAAAGGCCCAGAAGAAATAGAAGGAATGAAATATTAAAGATTGGAGAATAAATAAATGATATAGAGACTGAAAAAAAAAGGACAAAGGATCAATAAATTCAAGAGCTGGTTCTTTGAAAAGATAAAAATGATCGATGAAACCCTTGCCAGACTCATCAAGAAACAAAGAAAGAGGACCCAAATAAATAAAATTAGAAATGAGAGAGGCAGTGTAACAATGGACACCACAGAAATACAAAGGATTATAAGCAAATACTGTGAACAACTACATGCCAATAAACTGGACAACTTGGGTGAAATGGACAAATTCCTAGAAAAATGCAATCTTGCAAAACTCAATCGGGAAGAATCAGAAAACCTGAGTAGGCCAATAACAACAGATTAAATTGAAGCAGTAGTTTAAAAACTTACAGCAAACAAAAGTCCTGGACTAGATAGATTTACAAGAGAATTTTAGCAAACATTCAAAGAAGAATTAACACTTATCCTCCTCAAACTATTCCAAAAATATTTAAAGGGAAGGAGCACTTCCAAGCTACTTTTACAAAGCCAGCATTATTCCAACTCCAAAACCAGATAAAGACACTACAGTGAAAGAAAACTACCAGCCAGTATCCCTGATGAACACAGATGTTAAAATCTTCAACTAAATATTAACAAATCAGATCCAGCAATATATTAAAAAGATCATACACCATGGTCAAGTGGGATTTATTCTGGGAATGCAAGGCTGGTACAACATTCGCAAATCAATAAATGTGATACATCACATAAACAAATTGAAAGATAAAAACCAAAACGTCATATCAATAGATGCAAAAAAGCATTTGAGAAAATCCAGCACATTTTTTTAATAAAAACTATCAGTAAAATGGATATAGACGGATCATACCTCAATATAATAAAGGACATTTATGACAATCTTACAGCCAACTTAATACTCAATGGACAAAAAATAAAAGCATTTCCCTTAAGAATAATAGGAATAAGACAAGGAAGTCCTTGCCACAGCAGAGAAGAATAAAAGGCACCCAAATTGGAAAGCAGAAAGTAAAACAGTCATTATTCACAGGTGACATGATGTTGTACATAGAAAACCCTAAAGACTCCACCAGGAAACTACTGGACTTAATAAATGAATTCAAAAAGGTAGCAGACTCTCCCCGGGCTCTGTCCAGGTGGCGTAGGGGAGCATAGGGCTCTGCCCCGTGATGTACAGTCCCTTTCCACAACGTTGGAGAGAAAGCCGGGCCTTGAGTCTGCGCTTGCATATTCCTACAACTTCTCAGAGTCCTGTGGACGATGACTGAAGAGACAAACCATGCAAGAAACATCTCTAAAAAAAAAGGTAGCAGGATACAAAATCAACACCAACAAATCGATGGCATTTTTATACACCAATATTGAACTCTCAAAAAGAGAAATGAAAAAAAAAATCCTATTTACCATTGCTACCCAAAAAAAAACACCTAGGAATAAACTTAATCAAGAAGGTAAAAGACCTGTACTTAGAAAACTATAGGACATTGAAAAAAGAAATAGAGGAAAATACAAAAAAAAATGGAAACATATACCTTGTTCATGGATTGGAAGAAATAACATAATTAAAATGTCTATACGACCCAAAGCAATCAACAGATTCAATGCAATCCCTATTAAAATACCAATGGCATACTTCACAGGTTAGAAAAAAACACTCCATAAGTATACACAGAACCATAAAAAACCCTAAATTTGAGAAAGAGTAATGAAGTAGGAGGGATCACAATACCATATATCAAAGTATACTACAAAGCCATTGTAACGAAAACAGCATGGTACTGGCACAAGAACACGCATATAGACCAATGGATCAGAACAGAGACCCCAGAAATTGACCCACACCATTATGGTCCATTAATATTTGACAAAGGAGGAAAGAAAATACAATTGAGTAAGACAGCATCTTCAACAAATGGTTTTGGCAAAACTGTACAGACCATGCAAAAAGATGAAAGTAGACCAACAACTTCCACCATACACAAGGATAAATTCAATGTGGATAAAAGACTTATATATAAGGCATGTAACTATAAAATCTTAGAGGAGAACATAGGCAATAAAATCTTAGAAATCTGTTGTACCAATATGTTTATGGATACATCTCCTAAGGCAAATGAAACTAAGGAGAAAATAAACAAATGGGATTACATGAAAATAAAAGGCTTCTGCACAGCAAAAGAAATCATCAACAAAACAATAAGAAAGCCCACTGCATGGGAGAACATATTTGCCAATGTTATATCTGATAAGGGTCTAATATCCAAAATTTATAGGGAACTCATGCATCTTAACAAAAGGATTATAAACAATCCAATCAAAAAATGGGCAAAGAACCTAAATAGACACTTTTCAAAAGTGGACATACAGAAAGCCAGGAGACATATGAAAACATGCTCAAAGTCACTAATCATCAGAGAGATGCAAATCAAAATGACAATGAG